GGTCCAAGCCATTCACACAGTTAAAGTTGTTCACACAGCAATCCAATTTGCAGTGTGCTAACTATGTGTAAACACATTTATAAATATCTAATTAGAGGCTTTTCGTTGTAATTAACAAACAATGGAAAGGACTCCAGTATTCCTATAATTCTCCTTTTACACATGCTTTGCATGGTTACGTGATTTGAATACAAAATACAGTCATTTCTCTTAACAGTATATCATGTAAGTGCTTTGAGTTTTCTCCTGACTTGTAAGACGCTATATCAAAGATTATTACATTACCCTATTAACATTGCCCACAAATTTGATCCCACAGAGACAAAAGCCTATTCAAATGCGTGAGTGAAAGAGGCAAAGAACCTGGAATTTTTAGTTTGAAGGGAGAGTGGTTTCAGTTAAAATATTGTACAATGATATTTTTCCAAGTATTTGAGGAGAGTGGAATTATACTAGTTGGCTCAAGTAGAGAAATAAAACTATGTTCACCATTTCTGTGAAATTACATTCTATGATTAAATATATGTAGCTCAAAATCTAAGCTGACATTTTAATGCAGTGCTGGGGAGCATTGCACTGTCAGAGGTGCCATCTTTTGGATGAGATACTAAACCGAGATCCTGTCTGCCTGCTCAGGTAGAAGGTAAAGATCCCATGACACTATTCGATAAAAGAAGGGAGTTATGGGCAGGTTATGGACCCACTCCATATCAGAAATGAGGTAGACTTCTAGCACTGAACATACACTACAAATTTACATTATGTAGCACCATTCATATTGGGAGGACATCCCAAGGCATCCCACGACTAGGATGTCTCATAAGTATTGTTTATTTCTAGTTTCTGATGGAAAGAATTAATATCCACAGCAACTTGTAGACATAGTCTTGGGTAAGGCACAGCAAAAAAATAGATATGCCGTTAATTTACAGTACAATACAATTTATATTTATATTGTGCCTTTCATGTCGAGAGGACGTCTCAGAAAAACTTGACATTGCTAGCTGAGCACCTGAGCTTGGTGTGGGAGCCAAAGAGGTAGTGGCCAACGGGATGGAGAGGGGAAAGATGCCTGAAGTGTGATCAAAGAGGTAGAGGTTATTCCTCTATATATATTGTACATCTTGGTGTAAACAAGGAGAACTGTATGCTAATTATACCAAGAAACCAAGATGACAACATGTGGTCTAGTTGTATAAAATTGTAGATAAGTACTGTATAAATACAAATATACACTGTGAAGCTTACAACTCTGATGTAACAAACAGATAAACATAGCAATAATAGATTGAAGTATGCACTTTGCATACACGGTGGTAAAAATCAGGCTGTTAACCCAACCTTTGAAATAAATGGAAACAACATTATTTAAGACTCTCACTATACATCTCAAATGTTAATATTAATCTATCCTGAACTATCCTTGTGATAAAATGCAGGGACTTGAACCTCTCTGTAAGCATGTAAAGTCAGTGTTTTTAAAGGGCAATGTCTGCATGAAAAATCATTTGCCAAAACTTTTGTTTAGAAGCGAGGAGTTTGAAAAGCCATGTGTCATTTGGATCATAAGATCATGAGCCATAAGATGATTTATGTAATTTCATTTTGGGTTTTTCAACTCTTTTATCAATTGTTTAAAAACACTTTTACATGAAGACTCAAAAGTCTTCCATGTACTGGGATTAAATGCTGCATTTATATTAGAATAATATATATTAGGCTCTCCCCCAATGCTCCATACCCCTAGTGGAAGCCTCCTCTTCAGGCTACACCTTCAACCACACCCTCCATCCAAACCAATGTGGTGGGGGGGTGGCCCTCATCTCCAAAGCCTCCCTTGGCCTCACCCCCTACTCCTCTGGCTGCTTCCCCTCTTTCGAGCACCTCACCCTTTTCCACTCCTCTCTCCCTTTGAAAATCCTCCTTGTTTACCGTCCCCCGAAGCCCCCCAGCTCCTTCCGCACAGACATCTCCACCCTCCTCTCTTCCCTGTACCTCTGCTCCGAGTGCCTACTCATAATGGGCGATTTCAACCTCTACCTAAACTCCCCCTGCACCACTTCTGCTGATTTCACTGCCCTCCTCTCCTCCCTTAACCTTACCCTACATATAAACTCACCTACCCACAACCGTGGTCAGGCACTTGACCTCATCATCACCCACGGTCTTGACATTTCCGACCTTAGCATAGTGGATAAGGCCATCTCGGACCACTTTTTCATCGCCTTCTTCTCTCACATCCCTCTCTCCTCCACCAAGCCCTCAACCTTCCTCTAAGCGCCCTTGGGAAAGGCTACCCCCTGAGACATTCACAAAGGCCCTCTCATCATCAGACATCCTATCCGTCTGGCCTTCCACCCGCAGAGATCCTGAAGCAGCCGTCCAGCTGCTCCATGATCGCCTCTCTTCCACTTTCAACTCCCTCTTCCCCCTAAAATCCAGGACCATCTCCAAACCCACTCGATCCCCCTGGTACAACAACCATCTCCACTGCCAAAAAACCCAAACCCGTCTGCTCGAGCGCAGATGGCGGAAAACTGGTCTGACAGTTCACCGCCAACTGTGGCTCGAACATCTCCACAGCTACTGCCGTTCTTTAACACACGCACAAACGGCCTTTTACTTCAACATCATCTTGGAGGCCAAAAACAATACCCAAATCCTTTTTTCCACCACCCACTACCTCCTCCGTACCGCCCCTCAGGCCTCCTCAATCTTCACTTCAAATGCCAAGTGCGAGGAGGCCATGGACTTCTTTTCTGCAAATATACTCAACATCCGCCAGGCAGCTTCATGCACCTGCCTCTTGTCACCCACCACCACGCCCTCTCTGCCCCCTCACCTTCCTCATCATCTTTCCTACCACCACCCCCTTTCTGCACTCTTTCCTCCCCATCTCTCCCTCCTCCCTCTCACCCACCATCACCTCCATGAGACCCACCACTTCCTGCCTCGACCCCCTCCCCACCAACTTACTGGTCACACAGCTCCCCCTCCAATGCCCACTACTGACTGACATCATCAACCAGTCCCTCTCCTCCAGATCAGTCCCTGCCTCCCTAAAAACTGCTGTCATCACCCCCTCCTGAAAAAACCCTCCCTAGATCCCTCAAACCACAGCCATTACCGCCCTATTTCTAACCTGCCCTTCTTCTCAAAAGCTCTAGAATGGGTTGTGGGCAACCAACTCCGTGGACACCACTCCTCCCACTCCCTCTTCGAACCCTTCCAGTCCGGTTTCCGCCCTGCCCACAGTAGAGAGACTGCGCTTGTGAAAGTCACGAAAGACATCTTCTCTATCTGTGACCAGGGCTCCCTCTGCCTGTTCGTCCTCCTGGACCTCTGCGCCGCTTTCGACACAGTCGATCACGCCATACTCCCCCACTGCCTTTCCTCCATCATCCACCTCAGTGGGACCGCACTCACCTGGTTCGAGTCCTACCTCACAAACCGCCAGCAGTACATCTTCATAAACGGCTTCTCCTTCCGCTCTCACACGGTCACCTGTGGGGTACCCCAAGGATCCATCCTTGGCCCCCTCCTCTTTCTGATCTATATGCTCCCTCTTGGGGATGTGATCCGCAGACATGGGGTATATTTCCACATGTATGCAGATGACACCCAACTCTACTTTTCCACCTCTCTTTGCGACCCCCAGTCCCCTGATGTTCTGTCAACCTGCCTTCAGCTGAACATTGACAAGACGGAAGCCATACTCTTCGGCTCTCGTCAACATCTAAAATCTCATGGTTCTCACCTCCTCCACCTACCCGACCTCCCCCTAAAATTCTCCGAACCTGTACGCAACCTAGGCGTCAGGTTCGACCCCCAATTATCCTTCCTCCCCCACATCCGGTGCCTTACCAGCACCGCCTTTTTCCACCTCCATCGCATCGCCCATCTCCGCCAATACCTCTCCCCAAAAGCCGCTGAAACTCTGGTCCCTTTGTCACCTCTCGGCTGGACTACTCCAACGCCCTCCTCGCCGGTCTCCCATCCACTACCATCCATAAAATCCAACTCATTCAGAACTCTGCCGCCTGCATTCTCACCCACACCAAACTCCGCTCCCCAATCACCCCAGTCCTTGCCAGACTGCATTGGCTCTCTATCCCAGAGAGGATCGATTTCAAGATCCTCACCCTCGTATTCAAGTCCCTGCACTCCTCTGCACCCCCCTACCTCTCTGACCTCCTCTCTCCTCAAAACAGCACCCGTTGCCTTCGTTCTTCCGGGTCTGGCTTCCTACTTGTTCCCCGAGTCCTCCGCTCCACCCTCGGCGGCCGTACCTTCAGCCACTATGCCCCAAGGTTCTGGAACTGCCTTCCTCACTCCCTCCGTCTCGCTCCCTCCCTTCCCATTTTCAGGTCTCTGCTGAAGACCTTTCTTTTCGACCGCGCCTTTGGTCACCTTCCCACCCCTCCCCCTGGCTCAGTCCTGGGATCCTAAACTGTAAAGCGCTCTGAGACGGCGTGGAGGGCACTATATAAATCCAAGTTGTTGTTGTTGTAGAATTGCTTCAACTGGAAGTGATTCTGTGATAACCAGAATACCCAATGTGAAATGTATTTAATTTATATTGTGGGGGAAATGACACAGCACTGGACGTATCAATGTGGTTATTTTACTGTTCCTTGTGGAACATGAATTGCTGGGCGTTCCCTGATAGCTGCAAATAGTTTGCATAGGCCAATGTGCAGAACCACACTTACAGTTCTATAGTCAGTTGAATTACTAGGTGAAACAATGTATAAGTTGCACACTAAACATTCAGGAATGCAAAGTCGTTGACATTCCTTTCCTCTGTTACTGTTCAATATTTTAAGTATAAAATAAGATCTCTTTAACCATCCACGTCCATTAAAATCTATAGATTAATGTATTTAATAAAACAGGATCAGATCAGGTAAACTACACCTTCACACTTGTAAGGTCACATGAGTCCACCCTTTCAACATACAAAACACCACTGAGTAATGGTTAATGTCCATAGAGCATACCTGTTTTTCAGCAGAGCCGTAGTCAGGACCATGTTTCGGCAAAAAGTACATAATTTCACCTCGGTTTTTGGCCATCTCTTGAAGAGCCATGGCTGTTCGTACAGTAGAATTTCTTGCATGCACGAAAACCATCACCTAGAAGAGAAACAGAAAAATTAATGTTGCCCACAGAGGAGACAAGATATAGTTCTACCTACATTCTTTCTGTGTAATAAGTAGATAATTTTTTTTAATCAATGAGTAATTATTCCTCAAAGAATTTTCCTATTTGTTATTCTATAATACAAGATAATAAAAAAGAAAAAAAAAGATAGAAATCTGAACCAAAAATAGAAATACCTGTACTGGAAATCTGATAAAGGACAAAGCTTGAATCGTCAACATAGCTCACTCTTTTAGATACTGATTGACCTGCTGTGAACCTCCAGCAATTCTGTTTTTGTTATTCTCAAGGTTTTTTTCTCGCTATCTCTACTTGCAGAAACCAGGAGCAAAACCCAAATAATTCGATGATCAATTTCAATATCAAGAGCATTACTTGTGTCCCCTTCCTTCAGTCCATGTGAGAATACCCGAAGGTTAAACCAATCTATGTATTTGCATCAATTGCATAGATTGCCTGGGATTGAATTCCTTTCACACCTACACTGGCCTTTTGGAGGGTCCTGCCCCTTCTGACAACTCTCCAAGAAGAGTAACTACTGTACAATCAGAAAGTTGAGAAAGTAGTGACTAAGAACCTGGAAAAAAATCTCACATTTGTCAGTCAGCAAGGCAGAACAGAAGGTTTGAGAATGAGTTAGAGCAATGATGTGAAACTCAGGAAGAATATCCAAAAACAAAAAGTCTCTTTTTGTCTATAAACACTTAAAACACCCAAGGAGCAACGGTTACATGTAACATCCACAGGAACACAGAGTAACAAATTCCTTGGGTAAATTTCAAGCAGTTCCCTACTGAAATTACTGCATAACATGCATCTCTTGATACTACAGCTTAATCCATTTAGCTTACTTTTGACCTCATGTCTGTAAGATGTACTCCACACAATAATAATAATTATAATCCCTGCATTTGATACAGCATCTTTCACATTGGGAGGACATCTCAAAGCGCTTCATAGGATCCACTGTAGTGTGTAGTGGCTGCGGATTTTGCATCCAATTTGTGCCCAGCGATGTCCCACAAACAGCCATGCAGTGAATGACCAATTTTATCTGGAGGATTATTAACCAGGATGCCAGAAGAAACTCCTTTCTGTTTTCAAATAGTCCACTTGAACAGGGAAATAGGAATTTGCTTTCATGTCTCATCCGAAGGATGGCACCTCCAACAATGTAGCATATCTCAGCACTACACTGGAGTGTCAGCCCAACCTATTCGAGTTCAAAGTCCCAAAGTGATATTTGAACCCACAACCTTCTTATTCAGCCTTCAGTGCTACTAACTGAGCCAGGCTGACGTACGAGTATCTTATACTGAAGGTATAACTACCCATCATTTTCTGACCTTTTTAAAAATTAAATATATAGCCTTTAAGAGCATTGGGTCTTAGACTAATGCTTTTGTATGTAGAGAAATAAATGTAGTTAAGAATGCGATTAAAAATTGAATAAAACATTTAAATCAACAGAAAATGTTGAAAGTAAATGAAACAGCAACATCCAATATGTCCAATGTCATGATCGTGAATTTAGTACAAACACCTGTTGGGAAAATAAATCAGCCTCCTAGGCTTTGTGCATTTTACAGGATTACTATAAATTGAAAAGAACCTGATGTAAACAATTTAGTGGTAGCACTAATGGAATAGCTAGATCGGTTTGTATAGATTTTTGATTTTATTTTAAATCTGTTACAAATGATTTGTTGTGCAGCATTAATTACAAACAACTAGCCAAGCATAAATCTCCCAAGATCTTTTTCAAACCACAACCCATCTCGAAATCAGAATAAAAAAAACGTAATTACACTGTGGGGTTTGTTTCAAATCAACAGAACATTAATTTTCCTGAAAATATGCAAATACACTGCTTTCAAACTTAGCTTTCCTATTCAGAATGAACAAAGTTTTCTTTCCATAGAGTCAAATTCAGGACTGCTAATTTGCATTGAAAAGCCCATTTATCCAACTGTGCAACTTCTTTTGCTGCATAGTAGATTTTTGGCCTTTAAAACGTTTGCAGACAAATGAAAGAACCTGCATTTCCAATAGATGAACAAATTGACATTGATTATGTCGGTTTGAGATTTTACACGAGTAATCATTCTAACAGATAGATTGTCCAAGCTCAACTACAACAACAAATTGCATTTATAAAGTGTGTGTCACGTAAGGAGAACATCCCAAGGTGCTGGACAGTCGAGGGTTTGCATCTGAGCTGGATGTTGGATTTGGAATGGTGAGGGGCCGAGGGGATGGGGTGGAGGTGGGAAGATGACAAAGCTGCGGTCAAACAGTAAGGATCTTGAAGGAAGCGAAGGATAGGATGAGGTGAAGGGACTCTCGGATGGAGTTCTAAAGATTGGGTGAAGAAAGGCTGAAACTCCCGATTGCCGATGGTGGGGCGGGTAGGGCGGGGGATGTGAAGCAGGCCAGTGGCTGCCGAGCGGAGGGAGCTGGCAAGTTGACAGGGTATTTAAAAGGTCACAAGACTTGGAGGGCTTTAAAAGTGAAGACAAAGATTCTCTGGGGGAGGGGGAGCCAGTGGAGTTGGGCAAGGATGGCGTGATAGGTTTGCAGAACCTGGTGCAGGAGAGGACACAACCTGCAGAGTTCTGTATCGTCTGCAGCTAATGGAGGGAAGAGTTGAGAAGTCTGGAAAGCAGAGAGTTGGAGTTGGCATTGTCAAGCCTAGATGTGATAAAAGCATGATTTTTTTTTGGTCAGCCATGTGTCTGAAACATGCTCGAGTCAAACCAGCTAAAACAGTGAGAGCACTGTCTGGCAAGCTTTTCCACTGGTTTCTAGGTAAGACCACCCTACCAGTTTGTCTTGCAGAGTGTCCCCAGTGACTGGTCTGCCCTTCCAAGTCCTGCTGGATGAGCTAGGCTGGCTGTGCTTTATCAGCAGTGCCTTGGAGTACTGTGGAGCCACCTGGCTCAGGAACCAGACTACCAGGAGCGCCACAGAGAGTGGGCTCGAATAAAAGCATACATAAGGGCTCGCGGCTCAAGGGGAGAGGTAGTGGCGGAGGCAAGCAATCTTGTGGAGGTGGGAGAAGGATGAACGGGTCAGGGCACAGATGTGGTTTTAAAATAGACTCCATGATAGGGCACTATATCAAATGCAAGGATGGTAGAAAACAGGGATGGGTCGAGGGAAGGTTTCTTGAAGTTAATAATAATAATCCTTGCATTTGATATAGCGCCTTATCACGTTTTCGAAACATCTCAAAGCGCTTCACAGAATATACTATAAAGTGAATTGACTGTGTATTATGTGGGTGAAATGCGACAGCCAATTGCACACAGCAGTGTCCCACAAACAGTCGTGTGGGACCAATTTTTTTTTTAAGTAATTATTACCCCTGGAAGGGTGATTCGCGAATTAAGTAACAAACAGGTGCCTACTTACTGCTAGGTAAACAGAGGAGTGAGGGAGTAAGGAAACTCGCCCAACATTTTGCTCTGCCTGGGAATCGAACCCAGGTCACTCGCTTGCAGACGAGCACTCTAACCACTGAGCTACAGGACGCCAGGATGTGGTGATGACAGCTGTTTTGAAGAGGATGGGAACTGTGCCGATAGACAAGGACAGGGGGGCAAGGAGTGGGAGGTCAGGAGAAGGCTAGGAATGGGGCTGAGGGAGCAGGTGGTGATCTTCATTTGGGAAATGATGGAGGAGAGTGAAGAGGAAAAGACGGGCTCAGAAATGTGGATGGAGGGATGGGTGGACACCGGATGGGTGGTGGTAGTTTGCAGAGGCAGCAATGTGGATCCTCTCGATTTTGGACCCGAGGAAGTCTCGTCACATTTGAAGTTGGAGGAGAGGATGGGTGAGTTTGAAAGCCATTTGGATTTCACTTGAACTTTTAATAGAAAAGGGAGGGAAATGAGTTTTTTCCAATTAGTATCCTGATGCAGAAGGTAAAAATAGTGCTGTTTTAGTGACAATGATTGAAAAGATAACCCCACAAGGCACATCAAATGATTTCTGCCTTGAAGGCACATCTCAACTTTACATGGATTTTAATGAATTTTTGCTGTTCCTAATGAATACAGTATTAACTAGTCAATACATCAAATACTTTTTATCAAAAACCTCATTACAACAACAGTTAAGCAGGGAGAGATTACAGAGCAGTACTATGAGTATTTGAGGTGATATTATGAAGCACAATGTCTTTTACCATGATGCATATACACACAACAATAATATCTAAGTCCTAAGAATGTGTTGCTATTATCATCTGCCTTGTAGGTGCCTATTTACCTAATGCATACAACTTTTGGCTTTTATTCCTTCCAGTTGTAATTTTCCAATGATTTATGAGATGAAATGATTAAGATAAGTTCATAAATGATTGTCATATTATAGAGCCTGGCAAGTACAGACTGTACCAGCTCTGTTTGTGTAATAGTACAGTCGTGGAGGACTGCATCATACTGCTTTTGTCACTCAATGCATGCACAAATGAATTATTTTACAAGAATGTTTTTAAAAATGCTGGAAGCAACCCAGATTGAATTTACAGCTACCTTTAGGCTGGAGGTTAATTAAAAAATATATTTAACAGGGGCTTTCAACCACTGTTCTTTTTAGTACTTAAAATATAATTAAGTCAGATATGCTAACAGTCAAAACTTCAATTTACACTCCAATATAAACAGAAACTCAGTCCCTAGCACACTAATTGTTCAATCAACTGTACTTCGAACCGAATGCTTGTTGCATTGAATAGTGGAATGAGAGGTTGCACTGTTAATGGAATTTGTTTTTAAAAAATGTGTGGGTGTTGTAATTGATGAAGTGCCTAAAGCATCTATGCAAGTTCACAACTTGGAGATGGTCTTGCTTAGGATGCCACAATTAAATGTTGTGGTGGTACCAGAAGTATCGAACTGCACTTCTGAGACAAGTGAAAGAAAAATCTCAACAGTATCAGCCCTAATATGCAATGTATTTGAAATTT